ACCTTCTGGTATAGTGGTCATAATTTTCCAATTTTCAACACTAATAAAAATCTTGCCTTTATCATCAGATTTGCGCACACTGCTCCTTTCTCGCTTGCGTCCGCTGTACGAGAAATCGGTTGTAAGTGTACAGAACGCGAATGTAACCGCCTGTCATGGTCGACATTCGAGTATGTTGTCGTCATATTTGCCATGAAGAAACGTTGGGTACGAAATAGATCGATGCCCTTGAGTACTAAACCCAAAAAAATAGTTCCTAGAAATCGTGTAGTTGTTGGCTCCAGAGATGTCATAAACCAAGTAATAGCTCCAAGTTAGGAGAAGAGAGATTTCCCCTTGGAGGCTGCCTCTCAATCACTAAGGGAGTGAAGAATAGGACTAGAGCATTCGATATCGTACACCTTCAGAGTTCAGGAATTTCGGGAGTCAGGACTGGATATAAGGAAAGAGCGTGGACTTGTAATGAAAGTTGTTGCTTCAATGCCATCAACTGGCGCATCCTTGGACTGATCATTAGGTACAAGTCCTGGCAGAATAGTATGATGGTGAATTTGGAAGTCAGGGAGGAAGAAGCTGGAAGAAGTAAACGTGGCGGAAAATGAATTAAAGTTTTATTTAATATTTTGAAGGTGCCTGTTTCCCACGTGACGGAACGATGACAAATCAATTGTTGAGAAGAAAGGAGCGAGGCGAGAACGAAGGTTGGCCTGCGATCTTGTTCTTGACCTCGATGTCGCCAACGGCGAGCTCACCGTCTCAACCATTGGATACCGTTAGGGCATCTGTGGGACACTTACTTACACGGGCCTTTTCTCTTCCCTGTTCGACTGCGGCGTTGGCGTTTACCCGGCTCGTGCAGCCAACATCACGATTTCAGCTGGCCCTTGACGCGTTGTTGCCTCTCCTCGATTCCAGTACCGAAGTCACTATATTCCTCATCTTTTATGGGATTAAGGCTGACATCTTTACAGTTAGCTCAGCGAATCTTGGTCTCGTTCATTCTCTACTCGCTTTACACCCCTCACCCGGTCACCGTCAACCCATTCAAGTCGGCCCTCTTCGTTGCTTACCTGAGGGAGCGTGAAAAGGCCGTATTAATTGCTAACGAAGGCGGGGTAAGCCCCAATGAACAACTTGTCTGGGTTTTATGGAAAATCTTAAAGGGTGATGGCAATGATGTGAGTGCCTCAATGTGAACCGCGTTCATCTTACTGATGGGATTCAGATCGGCCCATATTCCCCAAGCACGCTTTCTCGCTGTCCGCTGCCACCTAAATTACGCGCAATTAATCTTGTTCTCGACGAACATCTGTATAACGACATAGACGACTCTACTTATTCTTATTTCCAAAAGCCATCACTCCCGACTAACACCCCCTCCCCCGTGGCCCGCATCACTCCATCGCCAATCAACTTTGACGAGGATCGCAAGAATGAGCGACTCATTCACGCGATGAGGTTGTTGCTTGCTGCTCGAGAACGTGTGCTATCCCTCTCGGAACAGCGCACTCTCTCGCCCGTCCTTGCTGATTTAGCGACGACCAACATAATCACATCCCTCGATCTCACACCCATCATCGCGCACAATCCGACCATTGCGCACCCACTGCTTGTCAGCCTTCTTGTGAATCCGGATCCGGAGAACAATAATCCAAGGCCCTTCCTCGACGTCCTGCCCTTCTTACCTCCAACTCTCCCTACCTTCGATCTTTACGGCCGTTTGTTGCGAGATCAAACTCGAGTCACTGTTCAAGGATACTCAACCGTCGCTGATCTCGTTCTATTGGAGGTCCTGGGTCGCTTCATTCATGAATGTATTAACTGGCTCGACCGTGCCGAGAAAGAGGAACGCAGTGACGACCGTCATGCGAAAGGCGTGCAGACTCTTTGCCGCTTCTACCACAGCCTCATCAAACTCTCCATCGTGGATCCGACATCTGATGCCGACTCTACGGAAATGGCCCACTTCAGCCTGCGTAATTCTAAATTCGAAGAGGCCAATATGCTCTATCGTGTCATCGCCACATCGCGCTTCTGATTGACACATCTATCTGGACGTTACCAGCGTTCTCGGTCTGGCCATCTCTCGTTTATCTGATACGTATACCAACACTTCACCAACCACTTACTATCCACTATTGAACGACCGCTTCTCAAGTTTTCTCTCATGATACTCAAGCACGATGAACACTATAAAAACGACAAAAAATTCACACATGTTATGCCAACTCGACACGGACAATATTACCCTGGACGACGGAACTGGGGCGGCTGGAGCGACAAGACGGATTATGCGACTATGCTGACCATGCAGACTTATTCGAAATGGACTTCGTCATTTCTTTTTGATTGTTTTTTGTTCCTTCACTCTGTATGTATGTTCTTTTGTATGTCTACTTTTACCCCCATCATCGATCCATTTCGCCTGCAGGCTTTCGCTGCGCGTCCGACTTCAGATTCCTTTGTTGAGTCATTGAAGATGATCTTGTCTTCAATCTCCATCATCCATGCACATGCCTTGATTCCGCCATGCCTAGATATTCTTGTCATCTCGTCTCCCTATTGTCCACTTCACTCTCCTCCCGAGACCACCTGTCTTTTCCATAAGAGCATTCGGAATGACTCAAAACGCTATACCCTACACATACCCTTCCCAACAAGTTGAAAACTTTACATTCACCGCACATTATTGACCTTGCACCTTCTTGTAGTAGATATAACTTTCTCGGCATTAATTCTTGTATCGACTCACTATGGGGATCTGTTTGTTGGTTTTAGAATATGGATACATTTTTGTTTTTCTCTTGTTCGTTTATATGTACATTATTAAGTAGATAGTCAACTATGTTTCTGGTAATAGAATTCTGCCTATTGGCGAGCCTTTTTTGGAAAGAAAGGAAGGGTGATAATATGATATCAATCACCACACTTTTAAGCCTTTTAACGCTGACACAGGGTATTCCTCATCACTCTCCAATCGATAACGCCTGATGCATTGATGATGCGAATAAATAAACTCACCGATTATCGTTATTTATCCTCGATTGGTCTACAAATGGTTACTGCAAGTTGATATTTCGATATGAAGCTTTGAGGACATGGTGTATTATCTTATAACCATACTTGAGGCTATGAAGATATCATCTCAAGCCTTTTCCTCGTGAGCTGCATGCTCTCTTCTCTAAGATTCGACGACTTGAATAGGCCTATCAATAGACAAAATTAGCACTGGGTGATAGGAGGACCCGCGATTATGTGCTAAAAGAACCGAACCTTGACTTGCGTGTACGTCGAGGTCAATCGAGGTCATTGAATACAAAATTAGTTCAGTACATACGATATCTTCCGAGGACAAAAGAACATCGGTTCTACATGTTAGTGCCGATCACGATCGATGTTAACTTTACGAAAAGTCAGGCGTTTAGTTCTGGGGCTATTTAGGGGTGCTGCGGTTAGTACAAAGAAACGAACAAACCATGTTGGCCATGGAATATAAATTTACAAGTATATTCAGTGACTCAACCCTCAAGAGCAGCAGCTGACTGAATAGAAACCGGAGATGAACTCAGTTGAATTTTCTACAAGTAATGATTGAAAAAACGAGGATACCAGGGTGATGGGACCCGTATATTTGGGAGGGGGTGATACTATAGGCAACGTCTTAATTTTGGATCCTCGTGCAGAGAGCGAATCGGAGAGAGGGGATTTGAGCAAGAAATCTGAAAAAAGGAAGCGAGTTCTTGGCCTTCGCACGTACAGCAACCTTTCGAATGGCAGAAGAGGTAGTTCCATAAGGCGCAGATTGCTCATCGCCATTTTCATCCGGACAATAAATATGTAGATAGCGCCTGATAGCGCCTCTGGGACATCGCGACTCATACATATTATTGCTAATACTCATATTTCATGATACTGCGTCGGATAATTTGAGTTACTTAACGTGGTTACTGTTGGGAGAAATTAAGGCTCCAACCGTACACTATACGTATACGGCCGATGGCGTATATATACGGATATGGTTGTATACTGTATACATACCGTATATATACAGTTATATGGTTTCTACTATAGGGTTGTAGGATTAAATAAATCAAATACCAATTACTCAAGTTCTCCGTACTTTCTTTTGCACCTGGGAGGCTTGTTAACATCGAATATATTACTCCAGCCTTGAAAGAGCCATGCTTTTAATTCACAGTATTTTTCCATACCCTTCTTCCTGCATCTCTCATCTGGCCAGTCATCCTGCGCCCGCCCCGCTGCCCGCACACATCATAATCATTATCTATATGCCGCCAGGCATGAGCCCGACCCGCCCACATGCGCAGGCCTGCCAGCGACAAATAGCTCCATCTGTGCGCGCTAGCGCGCGCTACTTCACCACATAGTCCAGCTCACCGCCTGCGGCGCCCATGGCGCCCTCCCCCGATGCGACGGGGACCCGGGTACAGGCTGGGAGGTGAGTGAGTTTGAATGGTACAGCGTCTCCGCCATCGTCTGCAGGCCAGCTGTGGCGCGTTGGTGGCGCGCGTGCCACCTGCACTCGAGGACAAGGCAGAGACGGGCCCGCCCGGGGGTCGGGGCCGAGGAGGAAGTTGTCATCATACCCGTGCCGGCAGCCCAAGCACACCAGAGAAGAGCACGCTGGAAATGCTTGCAGGGCTGGTGAGCATGGGCATGCCTGCTGTGAGCCGCTGCAAGTGCGGCGGTGGAGGAGAGCAGGGGCCTAGATGTATATTTTGCGAAGACTGTATAATAACCATATACAAAACTATATACAGTATAACTACAGTATAGACAGGTTTCCCAAAAATGTGTATACATATACATATACATATATGGTATTTACCGTATATATACAGTAATGTATAGTGTACGGTTGGAGCCTTAGGAGAAATCGTCATTGAAATATTAAAGTCTGACAGTCACTGCTGGAAGGCATTTCCCTACAGGACGAAACATTAATTTTAATGGGGAAAAAAAGAATTCCACCAAGGCATTTCGGGTACGGGGAATCGAACCCCGAGCTGCCGCGATCGTAATAATATGAGAGGCGGCAATGTTAGCCGTTACACCATACCCGACAATAACGAGTGATAGTATTTAGTCAATGTAATCTCACTAGTGGCAATAGCCGAAATAGACGTTTCCTTTCGACAGAATTGTTATTTCCCAAGACGTAAAAATGCAGCAAAATACACATGTATCCTGAGAGCGTTAATCTGCGAATATAGCAGTTCAATGCATTGATTCCGGGTATTCTTACCACAGTATCAAAATACCCAACTGTATACCACAGTGATGTATATATACTCCTGTTTGAAACGGCATACTCAAGCTTTCTGCATATTCTTTCGTATTCAGCATTCCAAACTAACAGATAACCCCATAATGTCCATTTTCTCTTTTTTTCGAGATAAGCAGAGTTAGCAGAGATTTGTGAAGCTCCTGGGAAGAGTCTGCCACTCGTATCGTTCCAATCGACGGTACCGACGGTGTTGACTCTTATCAAAAGTCGTGTGGCACATTTTTCACGTTAGCAATACAAACGCAGTTCTCTGTCACCGTGTCAGTCTTTCCCAGAAACGTGGAATCCTCGTGCTCGATAGAAGGTTCTCGAGATTTCTCGCTTCCTTCTTTTGGATCACTGCGCCCAACTCCTGAATTCCATAAAAACTTGAAGGCCGTGTCTTTACTTCGGGTTTCAGCTTTATTATCAGTCCTACTAGGGAGGCCGTTGGAGTTGGATGCAATACATTGCAAGAGTGTAATTTTTTTAGGTGCGAAACGGCAAGCGACTAGATATGCGGACGAGATAATTGGAGGTTCATTCATGGCACATGTTCTAAATTAGGAATCGCTATTAGTTATAACGAGAATAGCCGTGTATTTGTTGGACTTAAAATAGCCCCAAACCTAGTAGGCTACGACTCGGATAAGTGGACGAACAAGACCGATATTCTGTTCGCAAAGCAGACCTTAAGGTGATGATACCAATGTATTGGATATATGTACAAGATGAGAATCAGAGATGACTACACTAGCTAGGATTTATTTTGCGAGGAAGTGACAATGGGAGCAAGGCTTGACGCTCTTCAGACGGCACTTCTCCCTCTCTCGTTATCGGGTAGAAGACTGGTCTCCCGCAGGATGCGAAGTACCGTTCTCCACGCTTGATGACCGGTGCTGCACCTCTAATTCATTGTATTTTGGGGGACCGCCGTAAATGTCATACGCGGGAAGAACGTCCTTATCCCTTAATTCTCCTTCGTGATCCAAGAATGCGGTATGTCCCAATCTGCGCCCGTCGGCGTCGATATCGAGCGCGTGAGTGCGTCTATTACCGTGCCCGAAGTATGCAGCTGGATATGTCGCTAGATGTGGCACATCAAGATCATGTCGATGCGCTGTTGGTTCGATGTTATAATTCGGAGAGGGCATTCCCACCGCCGATGTCTGCCTGTGTGCTTGCCGGTGATGGGATATAGTCGCATGGGTATGACTGGGATAAAAGAATGAAGTGAAAGGTTGACTTCTTCGCTTCAGGCTGGTAATCCTGTCGAAGGATAAGGATCACTTGTTTGGCTTTTGCTTGAATTTTTTTAAAGTTACCTCCGTAGAATGATAGACGTTATGATTAGAAGGGCCAGTGCTAGGAAGATGTACTCCAATACTGACTATTGTGATAAAAAGGTACATGAGATATTGAGTTTCTCTGTCGCTAAAATTATTGCTTGCCTTCGTCAAGTCACTTTTTCCACTAGGAGGGACATCAAGAGAAGAATCAATGCTTGGCGGAACGTTTTGAGGAGCTCGAATATTAAGCTCTCGGACTTTCAGGATGTGCACCTCCATTGAGTTTGCATCATCAAACGTTAAGACGACACTGCCTCTTTTTGCTTTCAACGAAGAGAGAATCATCGTAATAGATGGGATGTTGGCAGATGGCTAGAGGCTGTAAAGAATTATTGAATTGAGTATATTCGTTGCAAGTTACATACCAGTCAATGTAGGATCCAAGGCAGATCGATCATCGAGGAGAAAGCCAAGGCTTTCGATGATGCTGCCATGCAGTGTCAGGGTTTGGTCAGGGTCATCGTGTACCTCATGTTTGCGGGTAATTGGCAGCGCTGTCAGCACGTGACATTCCGAAAATATGGTTGCTCGCTGTTCCCGGCATTGACCAACGACCAGCGCGCAGCGCATATAGACGGGATGCGCCCCACACAAGCCATTTTCAAATCCGGGCGTTCAGCATGGAAGGGTGAGTTCTGAGTCTTGTCATTATACGCGACACGCTCACGACTGAGCATATAGGCCCTTATTTCATTCCATTTCAAAACCTTCGCGAAGCGCTGGCGAATCATCAACCCATTTACACCCAGGCTAGGGCCTGTACAATCTTGCCCAATTTTGTTGGGTAAGTTATCACTTTTATGTCTTCGACACCGTATCTTATCAGTCTCCCCCAGGGCGAGGTTCATGGTACACAATGGGAAGGACTATCAACCCGTCGTAGTGACTCAGGACATGGTTGGGCATAAGCTTGGAGAGTTTTCGTTTACGAAGAAGAGGTTTACATATAAGTACGTGCTTCCTTCCACCTTTTCCTTTATTGTCGCTGAATATCTCTTAGAGCAACAAAAAAGTAGTAATGCTGATATATATATATTATTTAACCGTCGAAAGCCACCATGATTCTGGACGACTACCGACTGTGCATGTGCTACTACTTGCCTTTGCACTTATTATTCTTCAAATACGTTTGGCCATATATACTGCCCGGGTCCATGAAGCCATTCACGAGACCCTCGAAGCGATGCCCTAACTTTCTCAAGGGAATAATGTGTTTACTATAGGCTTTGACACAATGTCAATTAAAGACCGAGGAACATGCGCCATTTCAATCCCTTGACCTCCTTTGACGCGGAAGAACAACAATCGTACCGAATATTATGCGCTCAATACATATCATGAACATCCTCCCGAATCAACGATTAGTCGTCAATTTGTCTTTCTTCCTATCTTTCAGCGCTTCTGGTGTGTCCTTATTTCTCCCCTTGCCTACTTTGCTCCTCTCGGTGCGCAGTAATTGGAGCAAAATATTACATACAAGCGTGTGAATCCTCCCAAAGGCTAGGCGTAAATCTGCGTAAATGCGTTGAAGGTAGAGCGCCTATGCGCGCCCTTGGCAAGGCTTGGCTGATTGTTACCAACGGCGCGCAGCAAATGTGGGAGACATATACGGTATGGTACTTAGTTATCTTCCAAGCTTTAAAATTCGATCTCTGACAATCTATCGACCATTCCCCCTCCCCCCCCCCAAGAACTCGATTTGCGCAATCCCTACACTTTTCAAATCCCGCCCGCCCGGCTGTATTCTACGACTCGTATGGATCATCTCTCTTGACTAGACGCGCATCAAGCTTCAACAGTGTCGAAATGACACATCGCATTAAACAAGCTCTATGGGAAACTCCGGGAACTTTGCTTGACGACTCCAGCCTTGGATTGCCTCGCTGAGGGCGCTGTCAACCAACGATGGAAATGGAGCTACCTCTACTTATATTACTGCTGGGGGATAGCGGACGGTTGGGAATTTATTACAAGTAAGTGCTGAACAAATTTTGAAACGCGCTGTTCCGATTTGATGCTATAGAAAGTTGTGAACGACGAACTCAACATGGTCATCGAAACTCACTCATACTCACTATCGACTGACCTTATCCGTCTCTTCGGTTCATCCTCGAGGAGGTATTCTGTTCTCGATATTCCGGTATCCCACAGTCATCCCGCTACCGACACCACGATATACCGGCTACGACTTGGAACATTGTTTCAGGTAAGCTTGTTATACTCGAGTGCGTGGGGATGAATGCACCGGAACACTGGTCAACAAGTCATATCCAATGGGATCCTGTTGATTTGTGTCCGTTTTCGGGGACGGGAATGTTGGTTGGGTAAAATATTGTAAATGATGCAACGGACGTTCAAATTTTCAAGCTCAAGGCTTATCAGCGCTTGCCACTGAATGTTAGAAAGCAGATACTTATTCATCTTCCGTTTCGCAGGGATATTGACGTTCATGCCTGGCCCACAGCTCCATTTACCTCTGGCCTGGATTTGGGAATGTCGGGGCGTCTTCGAAGCCCGAATTCCGACTCGACAATAACGGAACCATCATCGAGGATTTGACAGCGGAGTGGCTGTACCTCCCACTATCCTACTCCTATGGCCTGCGTATGCTCTGTCTGACTCTAGAACTCTCATGCCGCTTCTCTGGATCATGTTATATATATCGTTATGTCCGTGCGCGTGTCATCGGCAGCTTCTTCCATGGGAAATAAGCAAGGATCCTCGAATTACCGGTGCTCGACAGCTCAGTTCTTCTGACATGCATCTGGAAATGACGCGTTTCATAGGCTTTCAGTAACCCATCTTAGGACATCGAGCGCGACAGTGATACATACACTGATTTGCGCTCTCAGCCTCGACTGCCGGAGTCTATTCTTATACGTCCTCTCCGTTATGCCCAACCGTGGAAATTATCGCATGCCCAATCTCAAGCTGTCCTGGTCGTAACTGTGTGTGTATGTGTCGATATGCTTTGCCACCTTCATGATTTCTCTATGTCTTGCGTCCTTCGCACACCCACTGTGATCCATTACCTTGGATGCAATTCTCACTCATCGACATTATTTTTATCTTTGCCTCTGGGATCACACAATGTTCAGCATTTACAGCTTTTCATGTTACAGCTATTATTCACGGCTGAAATGGGTATAAAAGGCTTACTTTCAACCTCCAAAGTCTTCAGGATCTTCGGGCCTTCTCTCCTCTTAGTTCCAGCTAACAATCGCATCAATGGCTTTCGCTCGTCTTTCAGCTATCGTCGCTCTTGCTCTTGGAGCTACCCAGATCGCTAACGCTGCTGTCACCAAGCGCGTTACTTGCTCTATGGCCAGGTCACCGCCAATGCTGCCTGCTGCGGTTAGTATCATATATACCAATTTTGTTTATTGCATCTCATTCTCAATTTCTCTAGCTCTCTTCCCGGCCGTCGACTTCCTCCAGACCAACCTTT